GGCTGTGCCTGCTGCCCAGCTCCCCTGCCTGCCCTGCCCACCCTCCTGCTCCACCCTGCAGGAAGCACCTGGAGATGCTGGAGGGAGAAAAACAGGACACGAGCTGGCAATGAGCTCTTGCAGCCTCCCCATCATCTCCTGGGCTGCATCAGGAGCAGCGTGGGCAGCAGGTCCAGGGAGGTGATTGTCCCCCTCTCGAGAGACCCCCTGGAGCTCCCGTCCAGCTTTGGGGGCCTGGTACAAGGTGGACCTGTCAGAGGGGACCATGGAAATGGGCAAGGGGCTGGAAGACCCTCTCCCAGGCTGGGAGAGTTGGGGTGTTCAGCCTGGAGAAGAGAAGGCTCCAGGGAGACCTTAGAGCAGCTTCCAGTGCCTGAAGGGGCTCCAGGAAAGCTAGGGAGGGACTTGGGACAAGGGCAGGGAGGGAGAGGACAAGAGGGATGGATGGAAACTGGCAGAGGGAGATTGAGGTTGGACATGAGGAGGAAATTCTTTGCTGTGAGGGTGGTGAGAGCCTGGCCCAGGTTGCCCGGGGAAGCTGTGGCTGCCCCATCCCTGGCAGTGTTGAAGGGCAGGTTGGATGGGGCTTGGAGCAGCCTGGGCTGGTGGGAGGTCTCCCTGCCCATGCAGGGATGGGACTGGATGAGCTTGAAGGTCCCTCCCACCCCAACCCATCCCGGGATCCCCGCACACCGGGAGGGGCGATGGGGGGGCAGGTGGCACCGCGGGACCTCCCGCCAGCGGGGGGCGCTGCGGCCGCGCCAGGGACTCGTCGCCATGGAAACGGGGGGACGCTACTCGGGGTAGAGCCGGGACAGCGGGAACGGGCCCCGCCTCCGCCTCCTCCTCCTTCTCTTCTTCCTCTTCTTCCTCCCTCTCCTTTTCCTCCTCTTCTTCCTCCTCCTCCTCCTCCTCCTCCTTCTTCCTCCTCCTCCTCCTCTTCTTCTTCTTCTTCTTTTTTCTCTTCTTCTTCTTCTTCTCCTTCTTCTTCTTCTTCTCCTTCTTCTTCATCGTTGTCTTCTTCTTCTTCTTCTCTTTCTTCCTCTTCAAGTTCAACTTTTCTACTTCTTCTTCGTGTCTGTCTTCTTCCTCTTCTTCTCTTTCTTCTCCTTCTCCTTCTCTTTCTTCTTCTTCTTCTTCTTCTTCTTCTTTCTCTTCTTCTTCTTCTTCTCCTTCTTCTTCATCGTTGTCTTCTTCTTCTTCTTCTCTTTCTTCCTCTTCATG